AGTAGGAATCTAGGTATATTTAAAAAGAGAATAGACATTAAGGAGAACTTCACTTTCTTTAGAACCTTTTGGCGTACCCTTCCTCTTCCAGTACTTTGCGTTGGTGGCTTTGAACTACCAACACTTGCAGGCAGAGAACTTGGTGAAGTAGCAGCAGTATTACTTCCAGCAGCTTTATGACACCCCCTCTTGTTATGACCCTTGTTATGACAATTGCATCATGTCATTTCCACTCCACTTTTGGACAATTTTCCTATCTTATTTTCACCTGGCTCTTTTCTTCTAACCTTATTTGGCCCTGACATCATCTTCTTGACATGAGGTGGTATAAGAGTTGGGTTTTGTGACTCTGGCCACATATTCATACCCAAGACAGGCTGAAGAAAGTAACTGTATGTTTTCATGTAAGTGGCATTACTGTACTGGTGAGAAATATAGTTCAACGGCTCCAGATTTTTATAATGCAGGGCAGCAACTGCATGAGCACATGGTATGCCTTTTAACATCCAAGCTCTGTACGTGCATGTTTTCCTATTGATGTCCACCAAATGCTTTACTTCACTTGCACCTGATCCTTCCTTCACTTCAAATCCAAACTCACCATTCCAGAAAATGTTACATTTCATTGACCTTTCTGTGTTCTCTTCCAAGACTTTCATGGCCATTGGTGAAAAATCAGTAATCCAAGTGTTTTCAAACTGCTTGAGCTGACCTATTATGTTCATTATCTTCACCCTTATTTATTCAAGCATTGTCATTATAGTCTTTTCTGCCTTGCTGCCAAAATCCAAGCATTGAAACATTCTGCCATATTATTGTCAACACTATCACACTTGCAGAATGTGTACACCATGCTCCATCTTTCAATGTTGTAGTACAACAGTTCATCAACTATCTTATTCCCCAATTTCTTCATTTCATCCAGATTTTTCTTCAACCCCACTCATAGGTAGACCTTTCACGCCTCCAGAAGTAGTTCCTTCTCTCTATGCCCCTACATT